TGCGGTCCCGGTGTTCACGGATTCGTTCGGACAAGCACCTGACCGTGTTGCCTATGTACGTTGTTACACAAGAACGCGTAAATGAGTGTACGCAAAATGAGACGACAGAATTCGGCATTCTTTCCTTTAGTCGTAAACACACAATTGGCTGGGACGTGAACAGAGAACTGAGCTTTGCTGCGTAGAAGGTCCTACTAACAGCATCGAATAGTCTCCTTTGTATTAACTCTGCTGATGTATGCCTTTTGAACGGCAAGGCAATATATACCGACTTCTTTCTGACCTCGGTCTTTTTCACAGTATTTCCACTGCACTGAATCATCTTGCTAACCAGTCGTTCTGGATAGCCAGTGTGTCTGAAGATATTGCGCGAGAACCGGAGCTCTACTTCCACTGTGTCCTCACTACAAATTTTCCGTGCTTTATCTGCTAGGCAGCGCTTTGAGCGTTGCAAAGTTGTGAAAATAAATATATTGTCCCTTCCAAGTTGCCTTCCTACGCACTGATCGTTGCATCGAGCCCTCCGATCTACGACTCTGACAGACGTCTAGAAATACCATTTTGTTGTCGTTTTGCATTTCTAAAGTGAATCTTATATTCTGGTGGGCAGCACTGAACTTGCTCAATAGCTCATTTGTTCCTGATGTCGTGTTGATCACGCACAGAATATCATCCACATATCGTGTGTATAGCACACACTCCTGAATGGTAGATTTGAGTTGGTTATTTTCGAGTTTCGTCATGAACACATCGGTAAACAACGGTCCTAGCGGTGATCGCATGGTCACACCATTCTTTTGTCGATAAATCTGCTCGTCAAGCTTAAACTGGACATTGTATGTGCAAAAATAAAGCAGTTGTTTCATTGACTTATTTAAACGGAAACTTTTTTATCTGTACTCTAATTGGCTTTCTAAAGTTTTGCGAAATACACTAACAGTTCATTGAAATATTTTATCAGTTGTATGTTCATTCCTCTATGAAGGTTTAAATAAGTGTCCTTTTTTCTACCTTAATTTTTGCATGACCTCACAGCCTATCTTGAAATTGGAGTCAAAAGTCTCATTGTTGGAAGGCGATGCAATATCGAAAGCCGATCATGCTTTGCCAGAAACTTCCCCGGTCCCACGTATGCAAAATCGCTCTGTTCTTCATCCTGAAAATTCGCAACCTAATCCTCCTCGTCTGAGCAATGAAGAATGTTCCATCTTTCACCATAGTACGTTTTTACGTTTACCGTACTTTCGGTACTATTGACTTGTCACTTGGAGTGGGTTGCGAAACATCTCGATATTTCCCATCGAGCTAACAGAGCATATTATCAGTATACATATAGTGATCAGTTTATACCATTTCATGGTCTTCTCAAACAGCGTACGTCTAGCTGTTGGTGGTTGTAGAGATGCCAGTACTTGAAATTGATGTCAATACGTTTGTTCATAGTTAAAATGAGGAATATATTATTTTGAGTCTTATGCGGTTCTTTATATAAACTGCCATGGCTTGGTTGCATCACTTTTTCGACAGTTATGTTCACTTCTTCCTGTTGAGTAATGAAGTACCGGTCGTTTTTCAAGATTTCTGTGATCATACTTCAAGTTGGGCCTGGGCCTTTGACCAGTTTTCGACTATCCTTCACTTTATCCTTTACCGAATGCTTTTCTCCATTTAGGAAACGGTTCAGTCGAATTCTTTCTTGGTGAGATACGTTTTGTCTCACGGTATGTCTTTGACATCCTCCTGCTGAATGGTAACACAGGCTGCTCCGCACGCTTTGAGCAGCTTGGCGACCAAGGTGTCCACATAAGGTTTATTGTTTTGCTCCACTGAAATGCAATAATCTCCCACCGAGGAATTCACCACAGAGTTGCGTATTGTATTGTATTCAGGCTTTAGCGAGTTATATACAAGCTTTCAGCCAAAAAAATAGACCACCGTTACAATTCTGTTAAAAACAGGGGGGAAATTAGGATGTGAAAGGTATGAGTTAATTACTAAATGCATTAGAAAGCTCAGAGCGAACACTTTCCTTGTCGGTCAGTATCTGGGCAAGATAGGGTACCAAAGAGTTTCTGTATGCGGATATGCGAGACGAGATAAGTTTGTACTTGGAACGGGTGGAGGGGTGGGATTTGCATGCACACAAGTCAATGTGTAGAGGATGGGTGCAATCAGATAGAATATTGTCAGCAAACTTCAAGCACGCATCAATATGGGCATTACACATATTGTCAATCAGAACAGATAACGGAACTTGGGATACACGGCTGATCATTGAGAGGCCTTTTCAGCAACTTGAAATCAGCCTTCAACAAACCGGGGAAAATTACAGCAGAGCAGTAAAGGAGGATAGGGAGGAAACATTGTTGAACGAAAGTGTTTATCACTGACGAGTCAGAACAGAATTAGCGCAGTCTTATTATCTGAAAAGAGAGCTTTTTCAACTTGCGAGCAATATTTTGGGTATGTAAGGACCAGCGAAGGTTGCTTTCAAGTGTACTTCACATAGCTGACCCTACTCTTCGGCTCTCCGTGAATCTGAACATTGTCGGAGGGAGATGGAGTACGGTTTAGAGTAAAAATGCATTCAAGGCATTTTTCAGGATTGAGACCGGAAGAAGTGGAATATGAAACGGGGTGGTATAGGTTTGTATTATGTTCAACCAGTTCTGATTAGTTAGATACGGAAACAGAAATGGCGATATCATCAGCATGCTTAAAATGTCGAACAGGAGGAGTAACAGGTAAGTCACTAATATAAGTCGAAAAAAGATAAGGTGACAGGACAGCACCTTGAAGTGCACCCGAGCTATTGAGTGACGCGGTTGACTGTCTTCATCCCATTTAACATACTGATATCTTTGTGAAAAGTAATCTGCAAGCCATTCAAGAAGAGAAGCCGGACAGCCAAAAGATTGAAGCTTGTTAAGTAAAAGACAGCGGGGCACCGAGTCGAAAGTGGAAGAGAAGTCAAGAAATGCACAATGCATATATTTAGCTTTCTCGTTAAGGGACTTACAGATGAAATGAACTAGAGAAGAAACGGCATCTAATGTAGAGCGGTTTTGTTTGTATGCAAACTGATAAATGTCATCGTGCGTGGTAAGAGATAACTGAAGACGGTGCAGAACTGATCGCTCTATCAATTTCAAACCAGTGGAGGTGAGAGCAATTGGTCTGAAACGCTTCGCTATTGGGACCTTCGACGTTCCTTTTGAGATGAGAGTGATTCTCACTGGGCGCCAGCAGTCTGAAATAGTTCGAAGTTCGAGTGAAAGATTAGCTATGTGTGCTAAAATCTGAGACAGTGGCTGAGCACCGTGTTTAAGAAGGGTGGGAATTAAGTTGTCTGGACCAGGTGCAGTGGACACCTTGAGAGAACGCGTGTTTATACATCTCACCAGAGGTGATGGGATCAAACGAAGGTTGGATGTTTGGAGAACTGGAATCAGCATGACTGGGGGCATTTGTCGGACGAAGAATGAATAAATGCATTATTCGGTTTTCCAATATCGATAGAGGGACTGGAAATCACTTTCTTCTGCCCTCAGAATAGATTGGTTCCGCGCCACGTAGATTTACAGTTCCTTGTCCCAAAAAACTGACTTGCATAAAGGGCGTCCAACCGTCTTATTCCACTCTTGATCAGGAACGATAATCGTTGCATTTCGGCCCTCCTGCCACATTTAAATGCACGTTCCTTTTCACGGCGAAGACGTTTAAGAAAAGGTGTTGATATTCTGCCATGTTGAAGGAATTAAGTTATCACAGGACAGCATATGTCAAAAATACAGTTGAACACTTCTGTCAGAAATGTCATACTTAACGATCAGGTTGTGTTTAAAGGAAAACAGTCGGTAACTACCTTAAGAGACGATCTAGGCCAAGCAATATTGTCTGGGGAAAGATCTCGCCGACGAAACATGATGTGTTTTGGTGGAGTAAAGGAAAAATGTCCTGAGTGTGAGTAAATCTCAGGTCTGACCAGGATCAGGTTGTGGTCACTGGTGCATAAGGGGGAGAACATATCCATTTTATGCCTTAATAAGTAGATATGATCATGCAAACAACTAGAAACAACGTTACTGCATTTGTCCACTTTGTCGCATGACTTTTTACTGGGTTCTTATGGCTTCTATAGGAAATAAAATTTCTTTACAATTGTGAATAACCATATCGTGATTGTTTCGCTCTATTCTCAGTCAGCCAGGTCGCCTGTCGTCTGGCTCAAACAGCACTGCAGGAGGCCACAACAGAGCTGGTAGCTGAGGGAGTTGTTCTGTCAGATTTCGAGCAAAGTAAATTCCGTTCTGACCATCCCGAATCGGAATCACTCGCTACTAAGATTGTTCTCAGCTCAGCTGAAACTCAATCCACAACAACTGCATTCAGATCGAGCACAGAACCGTCGTCTTCCAGTGATGTCGGTTCCAGTACATGTCGTTCACTGAAAGCAGAGCTACGAGCCCTGTTGACCTCTTCATTGATTAGTTCACTTCTTAGTGGAAGCGGCACGACTGCTGCAATCAATTCGTCCACTCTCACTGGAGCTCTGAGCAGCACGGCGGAAGTTTTGCGTCGGGAACTGGCTCCAAGTCCGAACAGTGGGTGAGTGCTCTCCTTTTGCTATCAGTTTTCAGGATTTTATTTTTACTATTTTTTTTTCAATCATATATCATCACTAGCTGATAAATTTGCTGATCGACCGGAGACTAACCAGGCACTGAAGAGTTCATCACATCGATTCAGGTTATCCATCCTATTGCCATCAGTGTTGCCATTTGACTTGGTAGCTGCAAAAGAGCCACCTTTCATCCTCTTCTCCCCTCTGTTTTGCATTACGCTTCACGCTAGCCTAAAACAGCCCAGTCCAATCTCAGATGATATATTAGGATCATCTCAATGCCGGACATCGTCGAAAGAAACGTCCCCAATCCAGACTGGTCTTTCCGGATCAGTATCGTCACCATCAGACGACAACGGCTCATGTCTGGATGGTGTTGCTACTGTTATACCGGGTGAGTTTCCGGTTTAGACATATACTTTTCAAAATGGTATTCACCAACCTAAATTTCATTGGCCCGATAAGTGACCTTTATCCAGATCAGTAATTCGTTTCCCCTCGTTTATAGTTTGTGCTCTACTCCAACTTTTGGGGCGTCGAGTTTATCACTTCTGAGGTGTAAACCTGCAGTACGCGGTTTCTTCATCACAAATCCTATGGGGATATCGAAAGTGAGATTACATGCGAATGCATTCTTTTCTTCTTTGAGCATAGTAAATAGGAAGACAGATATAGGAATTATTGATGTTGGCCGTGAATTTAACGTGCTCCCATTCAGCTGTGACCGCACGTCAAGCAAACGGCACGCTTCCACTGTCCCTATTCTTACTGAAACTCAATATCAAGTAAGATATACCGCCTCAGTGAAACTGTCCTGATATTATCTTCCAGACAGGTCAAACATCACAATCACACTCGAACGGCCCGACCGAATCCATGACTAACCTGGCATGACCAAGTATAATTTACCGATATTAACATGTGCTTATAACCAAAATCTAGCTGCCGTTTTATTGAATAGGTGCAAAAAATACACATTTTGTTTCTGTGTTTGGCTGCTTGATATAGTTGCCTAAACGGCTGTTTACCGCTTTACAGGAACACGCTAAATCAAGAGCCAATGTCAAATACGCTCGCACGTGTCTTCTTGATTTGTTGATATTGATACAGGGAAACGGATGTATCACAGTAAATAGGCTTTCAATCACGTAAAAGTCGGGGCTGCTAGACTAAAAATACACGAATTAGACCTCTAAGTTCTTCATGAGCATTGACAGATTCTGATGACTGATGATAGAGATGAAGCACTGTGTTCCGGGTCCTCCTCATCCCAGTTGCAGTTGTACGTTGTGTCCAATTGGTGTACTGCATCGGCGTATAAAAGTCTTTCTGTGAAATAATTCCTACGACTATACTGGATTAGAACTGCTCTCATATTTGTGAAGTGAACTCTGATTGATTTGCCCGAACGTTCTGCCTGGTTATGGTGCAAATGTTTTGACGGGTTATCTGAATGCAGACTCAACACTGTCATTACCTAACTCCGTTGGTCGGAAAAGACTCAGCACAATTGGAATCCTAGAGGCCTCTACAGTATTCCAGCTTTGCCGAACCGCAGTTTTCAGCTCTGGAAATAGCTCGTGCGAATTACGAAATTGCTGTAGGTTGGGACTAATTGTTTAAAATAATTCCAATTATTTAACTTTCCAATGTTCTCTTGCTCTTTGAATTTGAGTGAAGATAATCTAGTTGGTCCTCAAATCGACGGAGAATTCTAAAGCATGCCACTGAGTATTTTTTGACTTGTTCTCACCAAAACAGAAACAAAGCGACGTATGCATAATATTACTAACTTATGTAAAAAATCCTTTCCCCTTTATCCATTTCATCAATACAAGAAGACATTTGTGGACAGAATTGATATTGGCCATCAATTTCGCATGCTCTCATTCAGCTGTAAATGCACATTTATATGATATATGACAGTTCCACTCGTCAGTTTTATGTCTGCTCCTACCCATCTGCTTACCAAGATAGCCTCAGTCGAACAAAATGCAATACGTTTGAGGTCATTTGCTATGGTTCACTTTGGTTGAGTAATGATGTATGCTGAAAGGTAAACAATGATAAACAAAAGCAGTGCATACGGACGGACGAATTGCATGCGGTAGAAACCACAGTCAACATTTCACAATCTGTTCTTTTCAGTGCCGAAAAAATCTGAACTCGATAAACCGGATCTATCGTCAGCAAAAGGTGAGCCTCAGGGTTCCAGTGCGTCTGCAGAGCTCCACGCGAATCAAGCTGGTGTAGTCAAGGTTAGTTTAGCCGATCGTTGTATTCAGTGCTAACTGGATAGTTGACCATCAATTTAAAGGTTGAGTAAATCCGACCATGTCTTAAGCAATTTTCTTTTCTGCTTGGTTCACCAATAGTTTCTCAATAACGCTGTGTGTATGTGAGTGTGCAGCTGCCATTTGCTATGACAGTTCTCAGTCTGTACACACACAGCCTTTTCTCTCCGCCAGATGAGAAAGCTGTTTAGACTACGAACGCGGAAGCTATAAAATGAATGTTATTATCATCTGGTGCGTATCATTGTGCTACTGGTTCCAACCTAGTGGGGCCTTATGAGTTTCACCGCTCCAAGTCCTCCGGCTTAGGTTACCGGTTTTCATCGCTGAACGTCTTCACGACTATGGGGCCCATCCCGTCTGCTGTCCATTACACTTGTGTGTAATAAAAAGTCGATTCGTTATTCTGACAATTGCGTTTTCATTTTGTATATGTTTGTTGCATTCGGAAAAGTGAACCTGTAAACAACCACGAAACTGTTTTTTATGGGCTTTCCAAAAATTAGCACAGTGATTCGCTTTTCTCTCTGACGGAAATGTTTCAATCTTTGCAAATTGGCCCTTTTTCTGTTGCTATACACGTTATTTCAGCTGTAAATTCCACTGTTGCTCTCATTCCCATAACCACTTGTGCGAATGAAAAAGGTTGCGACCTTTTGCTTTTAAAGCACATACTTTGCATAATTTGGTCCCGAAAAGACATGTATACAAATGCATGGTATTTTTTGCCTGTTTCTCCTAACCAGTGTTTGCCCAATGTGCACTTTTTCGCCATTCCTGTTCAATGTCGTCGTAGAGAAAATTTGGGAGAATGCACTACGCGGGCTCCAAAATGTTGGCATTGAATGAGCAACTGGAGAAAAGCTGAGTGATTTATTACGGCAGTGTTATCCGATGTGTGCACCAAACACAACAGTCTGCCAAACTGCTGGCAGTTGCTGCCGTGGAGTGAGGACAACTGCGCGGAGATCAGCAGATCACAGATTGACGCAGCGTGAGAAACTGCTCCGCGAGATTAGGTAGAATAAGTGTTTCTTTTTTTCCACTCCCAAGCTGGTTCAAAGGACTTGGCGACTTGGTGGGATACTGTGCCGAATAAATTCAACCAGCCGAGAAATAAAGTAACATTTTTGTGATCAGCGATTAGTTTGAAACTGGTTCAGCGTTATTACCACTGTGTGGTTTTGTTCCCCAGCCAACAGTAGTTTGTTCAACTGCAACTCAATCGTTTGAAAATCCTTGGATGTTCTTTATCCAAAATATGGTTTTATTCATGTTAATTACTAATCTTTCGACCATAATAATGCATTTAATGTTTTTTAATTTTCATTTTAGGTTAGGAAAAATTGGTTGATAGGTTTACTGGGAAACGAGCATGGGAAAATGTCTCGCATCCAACGTCCATCAGCAATAGCTTCACATCAACTACTCGAGTTATCCGACAATAGCAGTCATGGTTCATTCCGTCCTTTGTCACCGGTCAACTCGTCTGATGCTTCTTCGACCCCTCGGTCAACTGAGCCTTCTGTTGATTCAAACCCACCATCAACTACTGACCTACCCATCAGGAACACAGCACTTTTGTTATCCACTGCTCCATGTGGTACAAACTGTACTCATCCGATCACATTTAAACCCTTGCCTCGTCTGGAAGAAGCCCCATCGGAAGAGTCCATAGCTGATCAGTCGAATACACTTATCAATCCTCTACCGCTTACATTGGCTGAAGGCGAATCTCTGCAAACCCCGTCCTCATCTTCCTGGACCGGTAGTCGAAAATCGAACGAATTTTGTGGCTTGTCCCGATGCTCCACATCAAATTCAAATTTGGGCGTGGTGTCTGATACACATACCAACCAAGTGTCCGAAAGCCACGTGGAAACAACTGAAGATGACCAAACTACTATCCATCGGTTACGAACTAATGTGCCCCTGACACCTGTCGAGCCATTCGAGTCCTCGGTTGTTCCCTGTCTGGGTTCGAATGGTTCGGCTTCAGCATCCAGGGTAGATTCCCGTTCTGCTTCAGTGAATTCCTCTCCGACTCCATACCAGCCACTTGGTACAGACGATAGAAACTGGCCTCACTGTGTGCCCACTGTTTATCCATCGTCTACTCATGTAGTCTGTCCTCCAGTGCTAGCAAATGAAACGCGGAATACGACAACCATAGATTCCAGCATTGTTTGGGACGATGGTGGTGACCTGATACCCAATGTGGATCCCGCCTCGAATGTGGACGAGTTGGGATTCTACGGCACCGTTTCTGGTCTGGTAGGTTATATTTTCTGTTTCTGGTAATCGGTTCATTTTGATCGTTAGCCAGTGTTTCTTTATGTGCCATTGCGCGCAACTCCCTGAAATGGCCGAATATCAAAAGGGTCAAGAAAAATAACCAACTTACTGTAATTTTGACTAGGATAAATAATTTGTATCCTCCTCCTCATCTCTCTGATGAATTGCCGCAAACAGAACAAACGCGAGACTTCCGGGGGATATTTTTCCATGAAATTTTTTATTATTTGGTGTGTGGAATTTTTCGTGCCTGGGGCATTGTTCTGATGTGTACTCTAGTGTATTATCCAAAATATCTTCCTAATCCGGCTATCCTTTCTTATCTGATCAGACTCCACAACCGACTCCAAAAGTGGGAATCGGATTGCCAAAAACTCAAAATCCCGAATTGCTCTGTCCGGAGAAAAACGACAAAACACCTCGTCCCACAAGTCCTGCTGATGGAGTTGTTTTCGGTACTGTTCAGCAGCGGCCAATCACCAACCTTCGAGATTTGAAATTGACCCCTTACGCTTCCATGCCAGTGATTTATGTGGACTGCGATATGGACAGTCAGCTAATCGAACCGCTTCAAAAGCCCACCCCGTCTCGATCCGTTCGTGGAGCTCTGTATGCGTCATGGGGCAGCTTCACGCGTGATCCATTGCCACCCGTGAATGATCCATCGTCTTTGTCTGATTCATTACGCTCATTCCAGCGGCATGAGGCGAGCTGCTTTTTACTGGACGAAACTGTCGATCCGATTCTAAGTACATGCTCTACTTTCTTGTATTAAAACTTGACATGTAATGTTCGCTGACGTCACTGTTTTTTGTCATTATGATAGTAAGGTGTTCGTATTCAGTGTTCATCTATGAATCACTCCGCGTGCACTCAGTCCTAACCTTTGACCTGAGATTGATCGAATCTTGCTATGTTTGAACTATTCTGCATTGTGTACCACAGTAAATAAAAGTTTGTAATCTTAATAAGTGTATTTATCAGTAACACTATCTGGTTATTGGACGTGTTTATAAACTGACGTTTTGCTCACCACGAGATATTTTTCATTCAGATGTATCGTTTTTTGCTACACCACGAACCTCGATCGTTTCTGAAACGAAGCGTGCATTCGCTTTTTCTTGTCTTCTTGAATATTCCCCCGATCACTCATCTATGAGTTTTTCGTAAGCAGAAAATCTAGTTTCAGTTTTAGTTGCACAACCATTAACCATGCACTATAGTGCGCCGGTTTTGGTTGTTATCTTTCGGCTGCCCATTTGGATGAACATTAGGAGAAAGACAGGAAAGGTTGAAAGTAGGATCGAAGAGAAAATTGAAAAGTTCAGTGGATTAATGATACAGATAATTTGAGAAAATACATGAACGCCACTGTTTACGACAACCAGCTTAATTATCTATGTTTTGTTTTCATCATAAATACATACCACCGTGAAGCAGATTTGTCAAGATTTGTGTCGTTGTTGGCATAGAACTAGTGAGATATTGAATAATGGTTTTGGACCAACCCGTTGTGATGCTCTGCTGCATAATGCGCTATTTTGTGCATTCACATTCAGTTCCCGTTCGTCAGTCGCCCACTCCCGTCCCACGACGAGAGTTTCTGAACCAGTCACCTAACCGCGTCACCGCCGTGGACGTTAAACAGAACGCTTTGGCTATTCACTCGGTCACTCGCACCAGTGAGGACCATAAACGCCATTTGGGGAATCGTCCGGATGAGAAGGCTGGCGTCAATCGTCGAGTATGGGATGGGCATTCTTCGACCCGCTCTGTCGGTACCAATCGTGGTGGAGCATCGCATCGTCTACTGACACGCGCACTGGCGGCCACCGCTCGTCGTGTCAACCCGAGTCGCGATACAGTTCGTTCCAGTCCACCAGATCCGCTCGAACTAGCCATGAGTAATGTGACACTTGAAGAAGTGCGCCATATACGGGATTCATCATCTCATAAACGAAAGGTACTTCGAGTGTCGATATTATTTACACACACACAGAGGTGCTATCACACTTTTCTAACTGAAGTACTATGTGCAAGAGAGGATTAACTGGTTAGTATATTTCTCAGATCAATTTAAGTTTGTGATACTAATCAGAGAGCACCTGTAATACTTTGTAATTTGTAGAAATAGTCATTTATCGATTTTGTGAAGAAAAATGGATTTCCCCGGAACTCTATCAATTCCGGCGTGGCCTCAGTGTTGGGTTTCTTTTAATAAAGTCTCATGTTGTGATTTGTTTGGCCTAAAGTCTAGACATAAACTTGCAAGAAAGTAAGTAATGCATAGTGGTTACTCCTCAGCTATCGTTTACATCATATACGTGCTGAATACCACCTATGTTAGCTGAACATTCATTCCCCTTGTGAACGTCTTCTCAACTTTATTTACGATTCAAAAACTCCGTTTAAGGTTCTCAGGTTGATGAAAAACTCGTTTGCATGTTCGTACATCATCTGAAAAAATGCATCAGTGTAAAAACCCGGTGATGTTGCTAATGGATCCACGAGGATTTTTGATTGATCTTCGCCATTTTATCGTGCTTTAGGGATTGGCCAACTGGGACTCAAATCAAGTTATCCGAAGTGATAAACGGTCTGATCAACTCTCCGTTCATCGAGTGGGTAATGTGCTTGCGTTCTACCTGTGAGGTCCTGGATTATATCCTTAGTTGGGTCGATGGGTTCACGCTGCTATTAAGACCCAGCCAGGTCAAAACAGCTATCCAATTTTTCCTAGATTTTCAGCTCCCGCTTCATATACACGATGAATCCATCACATATATTCAAATCAAATCCTCAACTACCCCTTTCTTCATTGTTATCCAAGTTATTACTGGTCGTAGTTCGGACCTCTTACGGAGTAGGAAAACTTGATAACTTAGTCTTAGAACTTATCCCAGCATTGTTTCTGTGCAAACTTGAACTTTACGGACCAACCCCCGCGAGTGACATCGAATCACATCGTGTCCATTATTTTACTCCGAAGTTAATTTATTTACGTTTATTTATTTATTACCATACATACATTGGTGTTCTTTTTCTGTTCTCAATATCGTCCATAGTCCCAGCCGAAAAATGCCAACCGTGTAGTAAATAGTCGATATTTATCTACCCGGGCTCGAGTGCAATCGTCGCCCCGTCGAACAGACGCAAGCGGCGCTCGTCGCGGCACAAATTCAACCACACGAACTGCAACCTCCACCGCGGCAATAAAAGATCAAGTCCCTTCAAGTGCTACTACCACTGTGCCTCGACCTTATTCCAATCGTCATCCTGGTCCAGGGGTAACCTCATTTCTACACTCCAGCTCTGGGAGCTTCGAACAATCTCTCCGAGAGAAGTTACAACATTGGCGTGCAGTCCGTTTGGGTGTACCTGTTACTTCGGTTCCGTCCGGCCTGAGTCAACGCAATCCAGATGAGGTAGCCGCAGCGTCGTCTAGGCAAGTCACCTCTTCAAGCTGCGTTGGAGGTACATGTTCTGCGTCCATGGTGGAGCGTGTGAGCTTTGCCTCGGTTCAACCCGGACCACCACCAATGTTGATTGAACGAAATGCAGATGATGATGTCAGTAAGTGAAATTTTCTACTAACTTCTATTATTTTATGCTAGCTTAATCGATACGACACTCTTTCAATTGACGTACAATTCCTGGCCCTATTCGAATTAAAATGCTATACCCAGTTAGTCGGTATCATTTTTTGCCTGACAAAGTAGTACTCTTCTCTAAGGAAAATGTGACCACATTGAGTTCAGAGGAAAACGTTATCTTGACCTGGCGATACTTGTCTACTAGATCCAATTTATAAACCTGAATCACCAAACATACCATTGCATTGATTGTTTACTATTAACTTGTTGTTCTCAGTCAAACGTTCACACTAGCTGTAAATATTTCTCACGCTTTCAATTGCGAAAAACGAGAATCCCAGAACCCGAACAAATCCGTTTCACCGCCTCCAAATGTATACTATTCTCAAACTACAGTGCAATGCAAAATGCCACCTGATGGTTCTACTAAATGGTGATAAAGTTCTCTTTGGGCTAACTTCTTTGTTGAACACACGTTAATGGGGAGTCTGGTTACAGTTGTTTGGCTTTTATTTATGTGAGTACAGTTCCAGAGAATGAAACGGATTGATGCTGAGGGATTCTGCTCTTTGATCAACAGGATGCCAATTAGTGAGTCTCTTAGATGGGTCGCAGGCACTCTGCACTGATGCAAGGAAAGTGTCTTCAATTTATTTTTTATCACAACAGCAGACGGGGTGGTCGTGAAGATCTGCGGTTCAGTGATGGAAACGGGCAAATTTAGCCCTGGAATTTGGAGTGGTGAACCACATAACCTACCCCCATCACATGAGGTCCCACTGGGTTAGGCGTGGTGTTGAATCGGACTACAGTAAATCTGCGTACCACTTAGGTTGGATGACAGTGTAGGAGCTCAGTTCATAAGGTTAGGAGCACGCTGCTAAACCATTGCACCATCACTGGGTGGATTTTATGTTCTCATCTACAGATTACAGCTGTTGACTAAAGCGATATCATTATTTTCATTTGAGCTATTGATTTCTGCAACAAATAGCTATGATTAGAATCCAGTCACACGAAACAATCACCTTTGGGATAGGGGGAGGGGACGGTGATCATCAGCGAGCACAGTAGGTACCCATGTCTATGACAACAGTTTGGTATCGGCACTTTTCACATTATTGATTTGATCTGTTCAAAGTTCGTGTAGATTAATCCCAAATGTCCGTCCTCTGACAACTATTCACAGCCTGTCTATTATATTCTTTCTAAATTCGGCCTAAAAGTTTGAGTTTCGCAGTCAATAAGTGTGAAATGATAAGGTGATGGGACATGTGCTGGAATTGTTTATTACACACCTATATCTGTCCTCTTAGCACCAAGGTACGATGGGGACGGTTTGTTTATCATTTTACTGGGTTGCCTTGATTATAGGTTCTTGGTTCTTCCTATTTCCATGGGCTGTTCAACTCTTTCGATCACTTTGTCACTCGTTCGTACTTTCCTCGCTAATCGCACCTGTTCTGTTGATCGACGCGTTTATCAGTGCATCTACCAACTGATCCAATGCAATGATTCTTTTTCTTAGCTCATGACTGATAGCTTATCTCTCTTTTTTCTGCTGTTTCCGCTTAGGTACGACCACATTATGGATGAATGAGATTGCTTTTCAGCCACTGCCCACATCGTCAGATCGTCCCTCGACCCCGACTCCGAACTCTGCAGATCGATTTCTGAACAGTTCCGACACCACTGTAGTTGACGAGGAGAATCTGGAAACAGATTTAGGAGCGCCCAGTATTCCTCAGGCTTCTTATGTGCAACTTGGCAATCACCAGTATCGTCCAACCACCCTCGGGTCCACGGCTTTTTTTATGGATTTCAATCCGACCGGTTTGCCGGGGACTGCTTGTGCTGGTGATGAATCCACGGAAATGCGATTCCCCATGAATGAACTTCAGTAAGTTGACGTTTAGATGTCAGTCCATCAATTCATCGTCGTTTCTATATTTATGCTCATTACTGGTAGGCCACACACTTTATCTCCTCACTTAGTAGAAGATGCAATACGTCGTGAATTTTTACTTGATTTTTTTTACACTTTCTTTTCTGTCTCAATACGCATTCGATTTTATAATGGCTATAGTATACGCGATTACGTATACGGTTTCATTCTCAAACTCAGTGAAACTGATAAACAATGAAAGTGGTGGAATACAATTATTGAACACTTACAGTTTCATCCAAATAGAAATTAACTATTGGGATTTAGACGGCCCATTCTGCTTCATCACTGGTTTGCGTCGTCGAAGATTACTGTTCGCTAGTGTTGTTAAGTAATTTTCTCTACGGCCGTTCAATATCTCTTCTTTTCTTGCTGTTCATTTGAAGCGCTCATTTGTGCGAGTTAATAATTAAGAGTGCCTCATCGGCTGCAGTTTTAGCGTTTCTCCGAGTAGACACTTTCAGATCCCCCGAGGCTTTCAGTTTTCTTTCACTTGTGCTCTGATTTGGACCTAATCTTAGCAAATTCCGGCTTGCACGTTTGTGCACTGTTATACGTCTTTCTCTTCCACCAAGTGTCTTAGAAGTCGACATTGACCGCTGTCTCTTCATGATTAACTTGCGCATGTTCAAGCTTCTCAGTATTTCCGTTCCATTGAGTTTCATTTCCCGGTCGACTAAAATTTGCTTGCGTTCTCGGTCAGATGATGACTTCTCATGTGTCACAGCTGACTGTATCCTTTACTTGGTGAATTGTGTAGAACTGTGTTCACATTCCTAATTCCTGTTACCATTACTCCACTCTTCCATATTCATCGCATCTTCTTGTTGGCCCGTAAAAAGTAACCAATGAACTTTGTGCTCATCCAAGTGCATAGCTTATTTTATGTCCAACGACTTTTACTATTTGCATTATTCGCGGTAATAACGATGTTGACCCAATTGGAATATATAGGTTGTACACAGACTTCACCATATGTAGGGCACTACATGAGTTTACGAGCCCGCCGTGTCTTCTGGATCGCGTCATAGCTACTTGTCATTTGTCTGCCCTATTTGAAGATAATATTCAAATAGTAGCCCGTTCAGGAAACTTTGCTGTGTTAAGCCGGTCAAGGTTGTCTACTTGATATTAGAGGCTATTTCATAGTCGGTCTGCTCCGAATGATCAACTAATGTGCACCCATTTTGAATTACTTGCTCACATTTATGTCCTACAGTGAAGCCACTCACAGGTTCCGCGAGTGCCCAGTTATATTACACCTTTCTTAATCGGTGTGCTGCAGACGGACAAGAACGGTCAAGATATTGAAGTTGTGAGAAAAAACCAATTGATCATCGTGGCCAAAAAGTGCAAAGGCCAAAGGTGCTCCATTTGAGTTTTCTTTTAGATTATGCTTTTTTGCACAAATAAGGACTAATTAGTTGGAAACTCATACCTCTGAGCATGTGCTATTGGCACCAAGATACCCGGTCGTGCCTTTCGCACAGCAAAGGTTTTGTTGTTCTTAATGTCACATACGTTTTCAGTGAATTGCCACTCCCAGCCGTTGTGCTCATATTGGGATACAGGTTCTATAACCCGATTGTATGTTCACAATGCGACAACGTTTCGCCGTTTCTCTCCCTGGTCGAAGTGTATTGTGAGCCTTTCACCGATTTGATTTCATCAAAACCGATCTTAGTGAAAATACCTAAATTCACGCAAACTGCAGAATTATATGGTCGAAACTTGATAAAATGCATTAAGGCGTTAAGGTTTCAACATGAAGTGATATAAAGTGCAGTGTGATTCCTGCTGTCTAACCATTGATGCTTTGAAATGAGCTAAAGATATATGCTAAACATCTGTTTCTTATCTTCCATGTGCCCAAACAGAGCACCAGGAAATATAATTAATTGGTCATATGCACTCAGAGGTGATGGATATAGTTTGTTCATTTTAAAGCACTGGCAGATGAAGTTGGTAATACAGTTAGTGATTCGTAAGAATCACGAAAACAGAAGGAGGCGGTGTGCTGCTAGAGGACGGTGTCCGCTGCCTGAAAGCAACTAACCGGGTGGATATTATTATTGTTATAGTTATAATTCACGGAATATGCCCATTGATTGAGGACACAGTGTAGGCGAATATATGTTTTCGGTGAATTCCTTTTCAAGCCTTTACAATCACATTTATATGAAACAAGTTCGATAAGGTCAAACAAAACAAAAACAAAAAGGTGAATGACTCATGTGTTCGGCA